TGTTGGTCGTGGTGGTGAGTCTGATCCTTCAGACTGAGCAAGCGTCCGCCGCCGTCTACACCGTCGGCGACTCCGGTGGCTGGACGTTTAACGTCGTCGGTTGGCCCAGGGGCAAACGCTTCAGGGCCGGGGACGTTCTTGGTAATTAAGAGTCCGTTCCCTTGATATATATATATATATATATATATAGTCAGTAATTATATACCTATAATGCATTATGCTTAGGTTTTGAAACCATATGAGGTGTCTATGTGAGTTTCGTTATGTGCGAACTCATTTAAAAAAAAAAAGAATAATTATATCCAATATGCTCCAATGTCTGGTTTCCTTTGTAATTGCATTTAATAAGTGGTTTAAACCGGTTATGGTTTCGGGTCTTGACCAGAGTGGAAAAAACCCGGTTCGGTAAAATCTTCTTCAAAAAGATCTATCAAACTGAACCGAACGAAACCAAACACACACAACTTGTGTCAGAAATCGAACCCAAACAAAAATGTGGTTCGGTTTCAACTCGTAACAATTTTTTCGAAACGACACACAAGAATCCGGAACCAAGCCGGTTTAAACCGGACCAAAAACCATGGCCGATCCAAATCCAGACCAAAACCGAATTAAATCGGACTAAAAACCAATTTCTCAAACTGAGGGGAGGTCATATCACACATGCATCTAAGTAATTATTTCCGAATGGAAATTAACTTTGCTTGTAGTGCATTTTATTTCTATTTTATTTCTGGTTAACGCAGTATTCAAGTACGGTCCAACGCTGCATAACGTGGTGGCGGTGGACAGAAGAGGATACAGTAGCTGCAGAGCGCCGGCAGGTGCAAAAACGTACAGATCAGGCAACGACCGTATAACGTTAAAGAAAGGGCTTAACTTCTTCATATGCAGTTTCCCCGGTCACTGTGAATCTGGCATGAAAATTGCGGTCAACGCCGCATAATTAACCATACAATATGCTAATGATATATATATATATATATATAATAAAACTTGTAAGGTGATAATTAAGCAGAGTATGTGATCTGAATGTGTGCGGTTGATGGTTGTGTTTTGTATTTTCCAAGCAATGAACCTTATGTAATAAAAATGCTATCTATTTATAAAAAATGCTATCTCGATCGAGATGGATATCTTTTTTTTTTTAAATCACTTTTTGGGTTTTTCCTCAACCACTACGGATTTCTTCGTCGTCGTGGTTTCAACGTCCGAACTTGGTGGCGTGTTGTGAACTGGGCGATCACCTTAACCGAATAACTAAACCAATCTAAATCAAATTTTATATAAAAATGGATCCGAGAATTAATTAAGATCTAAATCAAGCTTACTTAAATCGATCTAAACAAGGATAATAAAATCTAAATTTTATATAAAAATCAAATAGTTATGTTTTTTTAAAAGTGAAAAAATAGAATGCAAACTGAAACAAATAAATTAGAAATAATCGAAAAACAAAAAATTAAAATCTAACCGTACCCAATCGAAAAAACAAAAAGTTAAAAATCGAATGGTTATGATTTTTTTACAATCGGAATAATCGATTACGAATCTAATCCAATCAAAAACCGAAATGGCCAAGTTTTAGCGTTAACCGGAAGAGAAATTTAGATCTGGTTAGCACACTTCGGTGTGGGATTTGATCAAATTGTCTGTCATCCTACAAGGATCCAATGGTCATGAAGAATCCATCAAGGACATTAATTCCATGCATCTTACCGTACCCTATAATTCTCTGTAGAATCCAGAAGTCAGTCGGTGAAGTGTAAAGGCATCGCTCGATTCGTTCCCACGTTAAAATACGAAGAAACCCCCTCGAGCTTTCTTCGGATCTCTGCGACCTCTCCGTTTTCTTCTCCGGTCTTTATCCTTTTGGATCACTCTCTTCGCAGATTTCCACGGGCTTAAGCTTCGCGTAGATTCCGCTGGTAAACTTAATAATGTATTTGTCGAGGATCTTTGATCGTTCATGTTGATTGTTTCTGCAAGTTTTGAGGTTTTCGTTGACGGTTTCGATCTGGGCTTGGAAAATTTGATTCCCTTTTCCATTTTTCTCCAGGTTTTTTGTGTTTTCGTGAAAGGGGTTGGTGCGTATCGATGGGTTCTTCGTCGGGTCAACCCGAATTCGATTACTTGTTTAAGATTTTGTTGATTGGAGACTCCGGTGTTGGGAAGAGCTCTCTGTTATTGAGTTTCACGTCCAATACTTTCGATGATCTTTCTCCCACCATTGGTAAGTTTGAAGCTCGGGGTTTCTGATGATTAGCGCTGTGATTCGTTGCGTTTTGAATTTGGTTTTATCTGGATGCGTTTAGGTGTGGATTTCAAGGTGAAGTATCTTACAGTTGAGGGAAAGAAATTGAAGCTTGCAATTTGGGACACGGGTAAGAGATCTAATCTGGCTGTCTTTGGTGTTGACGTTACTTGAGAATTGTCGTGTTAGAATCCCAGGAGATGTTCTAATCATTGTGTTCTGGTATATGAAATCGTGCAATTGAAATGCATGCCAATGAGATATCTTTGATTGATTGGTTGTTCGGATTTCCGGGCAATGTTCTGTCTGCTGTGAGAATAAACATAGAGATCTAAAGGTTCTTTTTATTGTGAGAATAAACTCAGAGATTTAAATGGTGAAAAAGTATATAGCAATCACTGAATTACTCATTGAAGAATACATAAAATGCGAAATGTAACACATTCTTGACGTGTTCTTTGTTCATGAATTGCTCGCTTTTCCTCTGCTCGTAGCAGAATGCTTTCTATTGGCCACTCTCTCCTCTTGTGATGAGAGCTTACGGTCATATGTGTAGGAAGCTTCAGAAATAGCATACAGTATTTGGGTCATTCTTGAATTTTCGTTGTGTTTTTGTTGGATTTAATTGAGTTCTGTGTGTTTCTCGTCACTCAGCTGGGCAAGAGAGGTTCAGGACACTAACAAGTTCCTACTACAGAGGAGCTCAGGGTATAATAATGGGTATGCTTGCTTCTTTATTAGCCTTTTCACATTCGTTCATGCATTTGCCTGTCTTATTGGGTGCTTAATATTTACTCGATCTACTCTTTTTATCCTTAAATTCTGGGTTTTATATATGTAACTGTGTGACATTCTTGAAATCCTTAGTATACGATGTAACAAGGCGAGAGACATTCACGAATCTATCGGACATATGGGCTAAGGAAATTGAACTCTACTCAACCAATCAGGATTGCATCAAGATGCTTGTTGGAAACAAAGTTGATAAGGTATATATACATATATATATATATATATTCACGTTATCCTCCATGTCTTGTTTCAATAATCCTTTAACTCTTAACTCCGCCATTGCAAAACTTCAATCATTATTATTTTTTTCCTGTTTCATCACTGGTTTTTTGGCCTGCCTTCATGTTAATGATGCTGGATTCTGGAATGATCTTATTTCCAGGAGAGTGAAAGAGTTGTCTCCAAGAAAGAGGGCATAGACTTTGCTCGGGAGTGTGGATGTCTCTTTCTAGAGTGTAGTGCAAAGACTAAGGTCAATGTGGAGCAATGTTTCGAGGAGCTCGTTCTTAAGGTATTCCAAATCCTATCAACTTTTCCTCCTTTAGCTTCTTGAAGGCTCATTCGTCATATCCATGTGCTCGGTTACCGTCAATAGTCCTGCAGCTCCTATCTATAATTCGACCGGTTTGTGCATATCTTAACACAACGTCTTCCCATAGAAACGAAAAGGGGTTTGGATGCAAACCACACCACTTGAAATGGGATGGCATTTGACTGGGTAACTTAGGGTTATGAACTTCACATGTTGAAAACTCTGTCTAGGGTCTAAATCTTGACTCTAAAACATGGTTTTGTATCTCATAAAGAAACCGTGATGCCGAAAGTCTCTGGCTTTACTTGGTCAGAAGCTTGATGAACGGCAAACCCTCATTCCAAACCCGCTCACCATGGCAATCTTATCGAGAAAGCTGCAAGCTTTTTTTTTTTACTAGAGGACGTCGTGTCATAAACCCGCTTATTGTGACCTCTGGAAACATCTATGCAGATTCTGGAAACGCCAAGTCTAATGGCGGAAGGTTCTTCAGGAGTGAAGAAGAACATCTTCAAGCAAAACCCTGCACAGACCAGTGCCTCGTCAAGTGGCTACTGCTGCTCCTCTTAGGCCTCTGTCCTTTTAATACACAAACACACTTCTCATTGTCTTTGTTCTCAGTGTTGTCCCTTTGTGCCTTGTGAAATTGCTGCTTCTTTGATGTAAATCTCAACACTAACTTTGGAAGTTTCTGATTTATCATCATTTTTATGTTTACCATTATCACTTTGAAACAGTGTTTCCTTTCCTCTAATCAAACCAAAGAATAGCTTCACAACGACCCATGTGTATACACATGCATGTTTCTAGGTCGCATTTTGATCTTCACATTATTATTTTTCTTCCTTGTCTCACTTTCTGGTCAGAAGAAATAATTTTATTTTTTGTAATAAACCAGGCGAAAAACCACTCCGAACTTGATGTCAGAAACCCGTGTCGTCCCATAGAAAATATGAAGAAAAAAAACCCTAAAAACCCAATACAAGAATGATCCAACAAAGCTTAAATAAGCTTTCACGTAATGCAATAATGCTCCTAACCTTGTCCGTTCTCGGCATCTTCAATCTCTCCTTCTCCTATGTCTATGTTATTACCGTCTTCCTTATTCTTCATCTTCTTCCCTTCAAGAAACTCCATGAGCGGGAAGATATTCTGGACTGGTTGCTAGGCCGATGGACATGCAAAACTCGGATATTGGGAGCCCAACTCACGTGGCAAACACTGTTGTATATTGTTTGGTTGGAAAGAAATTCTAGACTACGTACGGGGTGCTCCAAGAATTTGTCTACCATCCGTAGAGATATTAATCGTTGTTTTCGAAACAAGATGGCGGCCATTCGATTTTCACACCATCAGTTGGCTAGCTCCTTGCTCCAAATTTGGTTCTCCACTCCTTGACCGTTGCTCCAAACTTCTTTTTCATTGTTCACTTACTCGCTCACATCCTCCTTTGCTTTGCTAAACATGTTACTCAGTTAGAGTACCCCTTGTAAGCCTTCTAGGTTACATAACTATACTTTTGTAGGTTGGTTAAACTCTTGTAGTACTTGATTATTATATATCAATACAAATACACCTTTTAACAAAAAAAGAAACTCCACGAGCTTTCTTAGAGCAATCTCCGGTTTCTTACTGCCCATCAGCTGTTGCGTCACCTCGGCCGGAGTCGTATTCACATCGACGAGAAGCTTCTCGATGGGTTCGAACAGTTCGTGTCCGTCTGTTTTGAGGTACAGAGCCGCGAGTTTCCTGAACACGAACGGAGTGCAATAAATCCATGAGAATGTGAACGTCCATTCTTCCAGGCCGTAACAGTGCTGGATCGAGTTTGTCTTTGTGGTTCGTTGTGAAGATTATGATACGTTCTTCTCCACAGCTCGACCATAACCCGTCTATGAAGTTTAGCAGACCGGACAATGTAACCTGCCAAAGGATCACCAAACCGTTTAAGATAACTGAGAAAACACATGCGTGTCTTTCTGATTTTCCTTTCCGGTGTATTTCTATGGTCCGTTTTCGGTTTTCAGACCCAGATCAAACCGGAAAAGACTCTTCAGTTTTAGTCCACAATTTGGGATTGCCAGAACCAGATCAAAACCGAAACCGGTGAATAGCCGAAACCGAATTCAGCCCATAAACTGGATGGAACCAGAAACCAAACTGGCTCAGAACGACCAAAGACAGACGTCACTTACCCCAGTGTCTTTCTTGGGCTTCCTCCGGCGATCTTTACTGTCATCCTCCTCCGGATTCATGCTTTCCCGCTTGCTCGAAAGGTCGGTGTTACAATCAATATCTTCAATGAGCAAAATAGATCTGCTCCTTGTTGATGTAAGGATCTCCCTCAACTCAACATCACCCTTAACGCTCTGAACCTGCAGATCATAGATATGATACTTCATATGATTAGCAATGGCGGCTACAAGGGAAGATTTTCCCGTCCCTGGTGGCCCGTAGAGGAGATAACCCCGTTTCCATGAGGACCGACGCTC